GATCGTGGCCAGGCGTCTTGTTTGGACTCGTGTTTGATCAAGGGCTGTAGCTTGAGGATTTCGGCGCTTCTGCCGGCAACTTTAGGTTGACCTGCCTGAGATAAAGCTCGGCGCGATTTGGTCTGATCCCGCAGGTTGCACAATTAGTAGGCAGTAGGAGGTGGAGGAAAAGATCCCTATTTGCAGTAGTCCCCATGCAGTCTCCAATGCCAGTCCCCACAGCCCAGTCCTCGTTCCCTGTTCACATCAATAAGACCAGGTGCCGCGGACGCCCGATGAGTCCCATGACCTGCAGCTGCAGATTGCTTTTTGCCGCGAGGACCCCGTTCTGCATAAGCTCACCCGGACCCCTCCTGGGGGTTGAACTGGTGTGTCAGAAGCCTGTCTAGCAAACTTCGGGATGTGCTACAGGGATATCCGAAATCAGTCAATCAATCAATAGGGAGTGACATGAAGTGACTGGATTCATTACAAGGGAGTATCTTAGGGAATACTTCAGGGATCCACTTATCCATGTACTAGTAACCAGACGCTGAAAACGGGCTCCTTACACATGTTAGACTGTGAGAGACATAGTAGCATTGGTGTACTAGAGGCCTTCAGAAAGGACTTCCAGTTTGGAGGCTGTTGCGTGTGAAAATATAACCCAGATTCGCTTCTTCTTTCGCTTAAAGCATTGTCAAGATCGACTGATGTGGGCGGTGGCTTCTTTTGTCGAATATCCCTGCCTTATCCTCTGAATGCCTCGTTTGGGGTTCCAGTCTACCTTTCAATATAGCAAGTATTCAGGAGCGTTTTAGTCAAAGGCATCTGGTTGACAAGAAGCTAGCTTAGCAAGGTGTGGAAATCCCTTCGATTTACCTGACTAGAGTACAAGACAGTACCAGAAAGATGGGAATGCTGCCTTGCCCTGTAAGGGGATATTCTTTAGGGCAGCGTAGGTGAATAGCTTGTTCAGAGATCGCTGTAGGACGGGTTGCTTGGCCCGCTCGACCTCCAAGCCTTCATCAGGCCAAGGGCACAGGACCTACAGTCTAAATTCCTTCAAGGGGCTTATATGCTTCTGCGCTCCGCGTTCCCGCCCCCATGGTATCCACCCCACCCCCCTCAATGCTTCAAAAGTGTCAACAGTCACAGGGATGGGGCCCCGG